CATATATATATATATATATACATATATATATATATATATGTATATATATATATACAAGGGAGTAAAAAATAAATAAAAAGCAGAGCGAGCAAAGACAGACAAAGACAAAAAACGTTTGTTTGTTTATTTCGTCTTTGTTTATTTATTTGTTTATTTATTTATTTATTTGTTTATTTATTTATTTGTTCATTTGTTTATTTGTTTGTCTCTGTCTTTATTTGTTTGTCTCTGTTTATTTGTCTGTCTCCGTTCTTTGTTTTTATTTTTGTTGTTTGTTTTTATTTTTTTTATTTGTTTGTCTCTCTTCATTTCTTCTTCGCAGCTTTTGTTTGTCTTTGTTTGTTTGTCTTTATTTGTTTGTCTTTGTTTGTTTGTCTTTGTTTGTTTGTTTGTTCGTTTGTCTTTGTTTGTTTGTCTTTGTTTGTTTGTCTTTATTTGTTTGTTTGTTTATTTGTTTATTTATTTATTTGTCTTTCTTTGCCTCTATATATTTAATTATTATCTATTTATTCGTCTCTATTTATTTATTTATTTGTTTATATTTATTTATTTATTTATTTATTTGTTTATATTTATTTATTTATTTATTTATTTGTTTATCTTTATTTATTTATTATTGTTTTTTTTTACTTTCTTCTTCGTTGTCTTTTGTCGTTTGCAGCAAATAAATAAAATAAAATAAATAAAACAAATAAATAAATAAAAACAAATAAAACAGACAAAGAAAGATAAAGACAAACAAAGACAAAAAAAACAAAATAAAATAGATAGAGACAGAGAAGTAGAGAGAAAAAGAGACAGCGAAAGTACAAGCAGCAGTTCTATGCTGCTGTTGCTGCTGCTGCTGCTGCTATTACTGCTGCTGTTACTGCTGCGACTGTTGCTGTTGCTGTTCTTGTTGTTGCTCCTGCTGCTGCGAGTGCTGCTACTATTGCTGCTATTGCTGCTGCTGCAACAGCAACGGCAGCAGCCGGAGCATCACCATCAGCAATAGCAGCAGCAGCAGCAGCAGCAGCAGCAGCTACGGTGATGTATTTAGGCTAGAGGGGGTCTAGCTGCACTTTCTTTCTTTTTTCTTTTCTTCTTAGGTGGTTTCAATGAAACAGAGACTTGCTGCTTTAGCTGCTGCAGCGCGTCGCTGCTGCTGCTGCTGATGCACCGCAGCAGCAGAGCCATTGCTGCTGAGTTAAACCGCAACGCGTCCTGTACGCAGCAGCAGCAGCAACAGCAGCAGCAACAGCAGCAGCAGCAACAGCAGCAGAAAGCCTCAGGTTGTTGCTTACAGGAAGAAAAGCAAAGACAAAGACAGAGACAACTAAACAAAGCAAACAAAAACATAAAAACAAACAACACAACAAAATAAAATTAATAAAATAAACAAAGACAAAAATAAACAATAAATATAACACAAGCAAAGACAAAGCAAAACAAACAAATACAATAAATAATAGACAAAGTAAAACAAACACACAAAAATAATAAAATAAAGACAAAGACAGCTCAGCAAACAAATCCTAAAAAATAAACAAAAACACAAAAATAAATTAATAAAGACAAAGACAAACAAACAAAACAAAAAAAATAAATAAAACAAATAAACAAAGACAAAACAAAGACAACGCAACAGAGACAGATAAAACAGAAGCAAAGACAGAGACAGTAAAATAATAATAAAAATAAAAACAAGGACAGAGACGGCAAGATAAAGTCAAAATAAATATTAAACAGACATATTATATTTACCCTTTGCTGCTGCAGCAGCGGTCTCACAACAGCACGCAGCCGCACAACCAACGCCCTGTGTCTCTCCGAAGCAATAAACAGCCTGCAGCAGCAGCAAACAAACAACATAAAATCCTGCTTATGCTGCTGCTGCTGCTGCTACTGCTGCTGATGTTGCTCCCGCTGCTGCTTTTCCTGCTTCAAGTGCTGCTGCTGCTGCTGCTGCTGCTTCTGCAGATGCCTCTGCTGCTGCTGTTCTTGCTGCAGGTGCTTCCAACGCTACTCTTGCTGCGGGTGCTGCTGCTGCAAGTCTTGCTGCAGATGCTACTGCTGCTGCTCATGCTGCTGCTGCTGCTGCTGCAGCTGCTGACCTGAAGTGTAGCTGAACCAACTGCAGCGCCAAGCGCACAGCAACCTCCGTCGAGCCCGCTAGCGGCCCCTGCAGCGCCATCTGCTGCTGCTGCTGCTGCTGCAGCAGCAGGTGCTGCTGCTGCTGCTCCAGCTGCTGCGGCATCTTGTCCTTCCACAGGCGTTTGGCTTCCTTCTCAAGTAATCCCGTCAAAAACTCCAACAGCTGCAGCAGCAGCAGCAACAGCAGCAGCAGCAGCAACTGACGTCCCCGTATAGTCCAGCTGTGAGGCAGCACCAACCTCAGCAGTCTCAGCAGCAGCAACAGCAGCATCACCAGTAGCAGCAAGAGCAATAGCAACAGCAGCAACAGCAGCATCACCAGCAGCAGCAAGAGCAATAGCAACAGCAGCAACTGCAGCAGCAGCACCAGCAACTGCAGCAGCAACAGCAACAGCTGCAGCAACAGCAATAGCAGCAGCAGCAGACCTGCATTGCATAGTCTACAGGCAACGCCAGCAGCACTTCTGCTGCTTCTGCGCTTTTAATGCTGTATATACACCGCAGCAGATGTTCATTAGCTGAGCGGCCAAGCAATTCGGGTCTGGCTGGAGGAGGGCGAGGAAGGGGATTTGCTGCTGCTGCTGCTGCTGCTGCTGCGTCTGCTGCTGCTGGATCTGCTCCTGCTGCAGCAGCACGCCGCGCTGCAGCAGCAACAGTCTCGCTCCAGCGAAGGAAAGAAGCCTCATACAATTCGTCCTCCTGTTGCTGCTCTCGCGCAACATCTAGGGCCTGAGCAGCAGCAGCAACAGCAACAGCAGCAAAAGCAGCAGATGCCTGCAAACAGCTGCTGCACTGCTGCAGCGGCAGCGGAGCAAGTGTCGCTGCTGCTACGCCTGCTGCTGCTGCACAGCCGCAGCAGCAAAACCCAAATCATGCAGCAAGATGCCTTCACCGCTGCACCATGCCACCCCCACTCCAAGCAGCAGCAGCAGCAGCAACAGCAACAACGGTATCAGGAGCCGCAGTAGCAGCAACAGCAGCAAAGGCATCAGGAGCAGCAACAACAACAGCAACAGCAGCACGGGTATCAGGAGCAGCAGCAGCAGCAGCAGCAACAGCAGAAGCAGCAGCAACAGCAGCAGCAGCAACAGCAGCAGCAGCAGACCTCAATTAGCTTGTCCGCAGTCCTGATGGTTTCATCTGTACGTTTTGTGGGTCTGTCAAGGACGATAGTTGCAGCAGCAGCAGCAGCAGCAGCAGCAGTGTTGGCAGCAGCAGCATCAAGTGCTTCTGTTTCTTGCTGCTGCTGCTGCAGCAAGCGTTTTTCCTGCTGCTCCTCAGCAAAGACCTGTTCGTCTGTTCTTCTCCAGAGATGCAGCTGTCTGCTGCTGTCGCAGCAGCAGCAGCAATCACCATCCGAAGAAACACAAAAAGAAACTAAGCCGCAGCCCCCCAGCCCGCCTCCTTTTGCTGCTGCACCGCATGCAAAAACTTTTATTAATATTTGTCTGTCTGCATCCCACTGCTTTATATATCCATCTAAGCTACAAGACAACACGTAATGAGTCAGAGGCAAGAACGATACCTGCGCATACACCCCAAACCCTAAACCCTAAACCCTAAACCCTAAACCCTAAACCATAAACACAACACCCTCCAAACCCTAGCCCCTAACCCCTAAGGTCACCAAACCCCCAACCCTAGACCCTAAACCCTAAACCCTAAACCCTAAACCCTAATCCCTAAACCCCAAACCCCAAACCCTGAACCCCAAACCCTAAACCCTAAACCCTAAACCCGAATCCCTAAACCCCAAACCCTAAACCCTAAACCCTAAACCCTAAACCCTAAACCCTAAACCCTACTTTGGTGATGACGTCATCGTGTGCGCGGAAGCTCTTTCGTATTTCTCCGAATTGAAGGCCCCACACTTTGAGAGATTTATCTACAGACCCCGACGCCAGCAGCAAACCCGAAGACGAAACAGATATTGTTGTTACCGGTAGCTTGTGGCCGTATAAAGACAAACGAATCCGCCCTGCAGCAGCAGCAGCAGATGCAGCAGCAGCAGATGCAGCAGCAGCAGATGCAGCAACAGCAGATGCAGCAACAGCAGCGGGGCTGTAGATATAAGCCCCTAAGCAGCAGAAACGGCAGCTATAGCAGCTACAGCAGCTGCTGCTGCTGCAGCAACGGCGGCATCAACTACTGCTACAGCAGCAGATACAGCAGCAGCAGCAGAAGCAGAGGCAGCAACAGCAGATACAGCAGCAAAAGCAGCAACGGCCAATGCAGCAACACCTCCAGCAGCACCACCACCACCACCTGGAGCAGAAACACAACCGCAGCAGCAGCAGCAACAGAAAACCGCAGCAGCAACAGCAGCAGCAACAGGAAAACAGCAGCAGCAGCAGCAGCAGCAGCAAACCTGTGTCTGTGTGCAGCACGAGGATAGTGTAATCGATGAGAGCGGCCAGCAGCAAAAGCCCCGCAGGGTCAAACGCGACGTCTAGCACTTCGTCAGGCAAACTAAAGGACCCCTCGCAGCGCATGCACACCTGCTGCTGCTGCTGCTGCTGCTGTTGCTGTTGCTGCTGCTGCTGCTTCTTCTTCTTGGGCTTTGACGTGTCAGCCTCCATCGCCTCCTCGAGGTAAAAAGCAAACAACTTCACCGTCTTGTCGCTGGAAGCTGTCGCAAAGCTGCAGCAGCAGCAGCAGCAACAACAACAGCAGCAGCAGCAGCAACAGCATAAACAGCACTGTGCATAGCACCAAAGTACTGCGGGCTCCTCGTTTGCTACGGCTGCAGCACTTGTCTCGCCTGCTGCTACACGTGCCGTTGCTGCAGCAGCAGCAGCTGCTGCTGCAGCTATTAATGATGATTACCCATTGGGTTAGAGCTGCAGGCTATATCGTTAGAAAGATGTGATGTTCTAGGGTTTAGGGTTTAGGGTTTAGGGTTTACCCTGTGTGTTTGGGGTGTTCTGCTAACGCATTAACTGCTGCTGCATGCGCTGCTGTGCGCTGCAGCAGCGTAGCAGCAGCCAAATCAAACAACAGCAACTCGCCGTTGCGGCAGCCTAAGACAATGTGCTCGTTGCCTGCTCACAAACCCTAAACCCTAAACCCTAAACCCTAACCCCTAAACCCTAACCCCTAAACCCTAAACCCTGAACCGTTGAGCCCAATCCTAAAACAAATCGGAGACTGTCACGTTTCGTCTTCCCTTTCTCTGCCAACCTACAAACCCTAAACCCTAAACCCTAAACCCTAAACCCTAAACCCTAAGCCCTAAACCCTCACCCGCCACGACGAAGCCGCACTGCGGCTCTTCGCAAGGCAGCGTCTTTACGCATCGGGTTGACGATACACTCCAAATCTTTGCCCCCTGTAGACAAACCCTAAACCCTAAACCCTAAACCCTAAGCAACAAACCCTAAACCCTGAACCAGACCTTGCAACTACCGAGGGCAAAAGAGACAGCGCGCACATTCCATCTTGCAGCAACGACAGCAGCACAAGTAGCAGCAGCAGCAGCAGCAGCAGCAGCAGCAACTGCCGACAGGCGCAACAGTAGCAACTAAATGCAGGAGCAGCAAGAAATGCAGCAGCAGCAAGAGCAGCATCGGAAGCATCAACACCATCATTAGCAGCAACAACACAAGCAGCAGCAGCAGCAGCACCAAAACCACACAACAAGGCAAGCAGCCAAATCAGCACAGGCAGCATCAGCACAGGCAGCATCAGCAGCAGCAACAGCAGCACCAACAGCAGCAGCAGCAGCAGAAGCAGCAGCAGCAATAGCAGCAGCAATAGCAGCAACAGCAACAGCAGCAGCAGCAGCAGCAGCAGCATACCTCATCTGCTGTCGAGAGGAGGTAGCCGTCATCATGAGAAATATTTACACTCCGCATTTGCCCCGCATGACCCCCCGAAGACAAACAACAAATTCGTTGAAAGGCTGCCTCCGAATTCAGCTGTACATACACCCCAAACCCTAAACCCTAAACCCTAAACCCTAAACCATAGGCTTTAAACCATAACACCTAAATCCTATCTTTTAAACCCTAAACCCTAAACCCCATACCTTATAAACCCTACATCCTAAACCCTAAACCCTAGACCTTTAACCCTAAACCCTAAACCCTAAACCCTGTAGGGGTCTTAGGGCGGCCTGTGTGGTGCTAACAGCTAGGGTTTAGGGTTTACCGTGTGCTTCCGCAGCAGCTGAGGGTTTGCTGCCCACAGCTCCATTGTGTTGTTGCTGAGATTGAGACAAATTCGCACACTCAAGCTGCTGCTGCTGCTGCTGCTGCTGCTGCTGCTGCTGCGGCTGGCGGCGACTCGGGCGTGGAAGCCCTTAATGGGTGCATCTGCATGCAGCGATCCCACAAAGAATACCTCCTCCAGCTGCTGTTGCTGCTGCTGCTGCTGCTGCAGTTGCAGCTGCTGCTGCTGGTCGTCGTCTTCCTCTGCCTGCTGCTGTTGAAGCTCTTCATTATTGCTGTCTTGCTGCTGCTGCTGCTGCTTTTTCTTTAGCCGCTGCTGCGCGCGGCGTTCTTTCTTTTGCTGCTGCTGCTGCAGCTCTGCTGCATTGCAGCAACGGAAGACATCGACTATACGAGACCCCCCACTGCAGCACAGCAGCAGACCTCCAACCAGCACTGGAGGGCACCTTGCTGCTCCTGCTGCTCCTGCTGCTGCTCCTGTTGCTGCTGCTGCTGCTGCTGCTGCTGCTGCTGCTGGGGGGAGAGGATCTGTCGTTGGCGTGAACTGCAGCTGCCGTATGCGCTGCTTTTTGCTGTTTCTGTTGGGGTGTACAGACCCTAAGTAAGTCGTCATCGCCCAGATACCTGCTGCTGCTGTTGCTGCTGCTGCTGTTGTTGTTGCTGCTGCTGCTGCTGCTGCTGGCGGCGGGGATAAGTGCAGCGCGAACACCCGCACCTTGAAGTCGCCACCCCCCACAAACAATCGTGTCTGCAGCCGCAAACCCTAAACCCTAAACCCTAAACCCTCACAACCCTACTGCAGGCACTGAGAGCCCCTGTATTCAGCGGGCATGTAGCAGCAGCAGCAGCAGCAGATAAATGCATGCGCACAAAGAGCGAGCAAAGAAACTCAAGCAGCAGTGCAGCAGCTGCTGCAACAGCAGCAGCAGTAGCAAGAGCAGCAGCAACAGTCAGTAGCAGCAACAAGCATGGCAGTTGTGAGAACCGAAGGACAAAACAGCAGCACGAACAGCAGCAACACCAACAGCAGCAGCAGCAACAACAACAATAGCAGCAGCAGCAGCAGCAGCAGCAGCAGCTCACATGACAGGGGTTGGTGGCGAGGGCCCACACCTCTGCTGCTTCTGCTGCCTCGACTACGGTGTACAGACAGAGCTGCAGAGAGCAATCCCATATCTTTATTAGGCCGTCCTTAGACCCACTCACAATCAGCAGGTTGCTGCTGCTGCTGCTGCTGCTGTTGCCGCTGCTGCTGCTGCTGTTGCTGCTGCTGCTGGTGCTGCTGTTTGTGTCGCTAGCGGCGTTCTCTTTGCGTTTTTTGCTGCGCTTTGCCTCCTTGGCCTCCGCCTCAGCATCTGCCTCCTTCCCAGCAGCAGCAGCAGCAGTTGCTGCTGCTGCTGCTGCTGCTTCTGCTGCTGCTGCATTGGGGTGTAGAGGCAGCAGCGCAGTCACTGGCTGGCTGTGTCCCCGTAGACGGCAGCGGCCTCTTCCGCTTTCGGTATCCCACACAATAATGTCTCCCTCTGAGCCCCCAGACAGCAGCAGATCTTCGCTGCTGCTGCTGCTGCTGCTGCTGCTGCTGCAGGCCCATTCCAAGGCGTTGACTGCCCCGCGGTGTCCCTGCAGCAGCAGGCGAGGGGGACCGATCGTTGGCTGCTGCTGCTGCTGAGCAGCAACAGCAGCAGCAGCAACATCAAGAGCCCAAACGCGAATGCTGCCGTCGCTGTATCCTACTGCAACAGCAGCAGCTGCTGCTGCTGCTGAGACAACAGTCGCGCGCTGCCTGTACACCTCAACTTCCCCATCTGGGCCTACAACTGCTGGAGGCTGCAGCCGCAGCAGCTGCTGCCGCTGCTGCGAATGCCAGAGCACTGCCTCGCTGCCGCAGCAGCACCACACTAAATCGCTGTTGCTGCTGCTGCTGCTGCTGCTGCTGCTGAAGCGGGGCCCCACACCCGGCAGCAGCTGCACATTCGAGGTGGGCGTCGCTGTCAGCCCAAAGGCAGCAGCATGCTCATAGTTAAGGTAGGCCTTAACCATTGCTGCTGCTGCTGCTGCTGCTGCTGCTAGTAGTAGTAGTAGTAGTAGTAGTAGTAAGAGTTAGAGTGGCGCTGCATGCGGCACTTTGCTGCAGCAACAGCGCCTTCTGCTGCTGCTGCTGCTGCTGCTGCAGGCTTAATTGATGATAAGCTGCAACTACACTAAAAGATACTGGTGGCACTGCTGCTGCTGCTATTTTTTAATCAACTGCAGCAATTGCTGCTGCTGCTGCTGCTGCCGGGCGGTGCTGCTGCTAGGCTGTGCAGCAGTGCGGCTACGTTAGACAAAACCCATTAAGGCAATAAGAAGGGGTTTTGGGTTTCATAATTAGGGTTTAGGGTTTAGGGTTTAGGGTTTAGCAGCAGAAGTCGTCGCACCACCAGCCAGTGGGGTCTCGATTCAGCCCCGCAGCAGCAGCAGCAGCAGCAGCAGCAGCAGCAGTAGAGTCATTGCTGCTGCTATTATAATTCCTTTTTACGATTGAGAAGCCAACAGCAAAAATTAACAGAGGCTGAGGGTTTTGTCTACAAGCAGCTAAACCCTAGATTGCATCAACTACTGTTCTAGGGTTTGGGGCTTAGGGTTTAGGGTTTAGGGTTTAGGGTTTGTTGTTGCCTTCCCATCTTACTGCGTTATAAACCCTTGTTTTATTACTGCTGCAAATATCTTGCAATTGGTAGAGACACCTGGAGAGACTGAACTCAGCTGCTGCTGCTGCAGCAGGGACGCTATCAGCTGCTGCAGCGCAGCAGTAGCAGCAGCAGCAGCAGCAGCAGCAGCAGCAGCGGCTGGTGAATCTGCGGCGGCAGTAAGTGGCGACTTCCCCGCAGCAGCAGAACCACCGCAGGAGCAGCAGCAGCAACAGGACCAACAACAACAGCAGCAACAGACGCAGCAGGAACAGCAACAGCAGCAGCAGCAGCAGCAGCAGCAATGACTGGGGGTGCTTCTGGTGGTGCAGCAGCACGTGCTGCTCTTGTATATGAAGGCCATCATAATCTGAGGGAGCGTCTTTGTCTTTCTATTTTGTCTGGCAAAGAAGTGTGGATTAAGAAAATTCGGGAGACACCTGCTGCTGCTGCTGCTGCTGCTGCTGCTGCTGCTGCTGCTGCAGGTGATGCTGCTGCTGGTCTCCCTGGGCTGCAGCAGCATGAGGCAAGCTTTATTCGTTTGTTATGCAAGATAACTGTGGGGTCTGAGGTGTATATACACCCCACGGGTACTTCTCTTCGCTTCCGTCCTGGTTTGCTGCTGGGGGTTAGCGCTGCAGCAGCAGGTGCTGCTGTGGGTCAGTCTGCTGCTGCTGCTGCTGCTGCTGCTGCTCCGATTGTGCATATATGCCACGAGAGCCGCAGCATCAGCTATTACTTGGAGCCGCTGCTGCTGCTGTCTCCCTTCTGCAAGCACCGCATGTCTTTGCTGCTGCGAGGAGTAACAGATGCTGCAGCAGCAGACGCATCGGTGGATCTGCTGCGGCTCCAGCAGCTGCCGCTGCTGCAGCAGCTGCTGCAGCAGGCGGGCGGCGCTGTTGCTGCTGCTGCTGCTGCTGCTGCACCAGAGATCAAGATACACTGCAGAGGTGTACCGGGGAGCCCTTGTGGGGTTGTAGAGTTTAGGGGCCCAGGTGTAGGTCGAGGTTTGCTGCAGCCACTGAATCTTTCTGCTGCTGCTGCTGCTGCTGCTGTTAAGAGAGTTAGGGGGGTTGCCTTTGCTGCTGGTGCTGCTGCTGCCTTCCCAAGGCGAGCCGTTACTGCAGCACGGGGGCTCTTAAATATGCTGCTGCCTGACGTTTGGGTGTATGTAGAGGATGCGACAGCAACACGCAGCAGCAGCAAAGCAGCAGCAGCTGCTGCTGCTGCTACTGCTGCTGCCGTAGGCGCTCCCAACCAGCATGAGCACCAGCTGCAGCAGCTGCTGCAGCAGCAACGGCAGCAACTCAAGAGCAGCAAAATTGCTGCTGTTGGTCTCGTTTTAGTAGCAGAAAATATTAAGGGGGGTTGCCGTGCTGCAGGCGAAGCGCTGCTGCTGGAGCCAGCAGCAGCAGAAGCAGCAGCAGCAGCAGGAGGTGCAGCACAAGTGGCCGACGCAGCAGCAGCAGCTTCTCGTGCCACCGGCAACAGCAAACTGCAGCAGCTGCTGCAGACAGAAGCCGCATCAAAACAAGCTGCAGCAGCAGCAGAAGCAGCAGCAGCAAGTAGTCCCGAAGAGCAGCTAGGCCTTCGCGTTGCGAGGCTGCTGCTGCTGCAGCTGCTGCTGGGGGGTGCTGTGCCGCCCAGAGGGCAGAAGATCGCTTTGCTGTTTGCTGCACTTGCAGCAGACCACGCACCCTCCAAGGTAGACCCTCCACATATACCTTCAGGGTTTAGGGTTTAGGGTTTAGGGTTTAGTGTTTAGGGTTTATGGTTTATGGTTTAGGGTTTAGGGTTAGGGTTTGGGGTTTGGGGTTTAGGGTTTAGGGTCTAGTGTCTAGGGTTTAGGGTCTAGTGTCTAGGGTTTAGGGTCTAGTGTCTAGGGTTTAGGGTCTAGGGTTTAGGGTTTAGGGTTTAGGGTTTAGGGTTTGTATGTGCAGGTGCTTCTTTCTCGTCTTACTCCGTCGACTGTTGGTTTTCTGCGGCTGCTGCGGGATTTCTTTGGAGTGGCTTTTTCCTTTGAGCAGCAGCAGCAGCAGCAGCGGCATGAGCAGCAGCAGCAGCAGCAGCAGCAGCAGCAGCAGCAGGATTTAGATTCAGAGGAGGAGGATTTAGAGACAGTCGAGCCGCTTGATCTTTCGTGGGCCCCTCAGGTGTTGGCTACGTGCGTTGGCATTGCATATAAAAACCTCAGCCTCAGCAGCTTCTAATCATCCCTGCTGCAGTAGCTGCTGCTGCAGTAGCTGCTGCTGCAGTAGCTGCTGCTGCAGTAGCTGCTGCTGCAGTAGCTGCTGCGGCTGTTGCTACTGCGGCTGCTGCTTAGCAGATGCTGTGGCTACAGCTGCCGCTGCAGCGGCTGCTGCTGCTGCAGCAGGAGCTGCTGCTCTGGCAGTAGGGAAAGCTGCTGTTGCAGCAGAGGCTGTTGCTGCAGCAGCGGTTGCTGCTGCAGCTGTAGCAGAAACTGCGCTGCAGCAGCAACTCGACAGGGACAAGTGCTGCTGCCCCTGCTGCTTACTGTTTTCTTTTGATTAGCTAGCTAGCTAACAAACTAGCTAGCTAACTAACTAACTAGCTAACTAACTAGCTAAGTAGCTAGCTAGCTAGCTAGTTGTGAAAGTATTTGATACTGTATAGAGTACTAGAGACAGCTGCCGTCTCCTTGGGTTTGCTGCTGTCTCCTTCTGTCTCTCTTTGTCTTTGTTTGTCTCTCTCTGTCTTTGTTTGTCTCTCTTTGTCTTTGTCTATTTATCTGCTTTTGTCTGTGTTTTTATTTTTTGTTTTTTGTCTCTCTTTGTCTTTGTTTGTCTCCTTCACTGTCTCTTTTTGTCTTCGTCTGTCTCCTTTACTGTCTCCTTTTATTTATCCTTAACTTCCTTTGATTTCTTTTGTCTCTCTTTGTCTTTGTTTGTCTCCTTTTGTCTTCGTTTGTCTCCTTTTGTCTTTGTTTGTCTCCTTTTGTCTTTGTTTGTCCGCGTTCATCGTTTTGTTTATATGCTGCGTATTATTATTTAGTTTAATTTTGTTTGTTTTTCTTCTTTTGTTGTCTCCTATTGGCTTTGACTCGGTATATATATATATTATATATGTATGCATGTATAAATATGCATATAATATATATATATAATATATATACATATATATATATATATTTTTTATATACATCTTTCTTGTTTATGTATGTTCCTGTCTTCTGTCTCTCTTATCGGTCTGTCTCTCTTATCTAAACCCTAAGACCCTAAACCCTAAACCCTAAACCCTAACCAGTGTCTCCTATTTATTTATCTGTCCACCTACGAATTACCAGAGTATAAATGTCTCCTGTCTCCTTTAGTAAAAAAACCAACAAACAGCAGCAGCAAACCTGCTGCAGTTGCTGCAGCGGCAGTTGCTGCTGTTCTTGCTGCTGCAGCAGCACTTGCTGCTGTTTTTGCTGCTGCATTGTGGCGCTGCCCATGGGTTGGCGCTCCTCCCGGCTTTGCAGTGTCTCCACACTGCAGCCTACAGCTAGCTAGCTAGCTAGCTAGCTAGCTAGCTAGATGTTAAGCCATCCACCTAGCTGCCCAACCAGCTAGCTAGCTAGCTAGCTAGCTAGCTATCTAGCAAGCTGTGTAGCTAGGTAGCTGTCTAGCTACCTAGCTAGCTAGCCGTCTATCCACCTGTCTACCTTGCTAGCTAGCTAGGTAGGTAGCTAGCTAGCTAGCTGTTTAGCTAGCTAGCTGCTTAGCCCTCGCGGCGTACGAGGAAGCGGTCTGCACCGAATTTTGTATTTCTCCAGTCCCACCTAAGCAATCAAACAAAACAAATAAATATAACAAATAGCTAGCTGCTAGCTAATCCTTAAATAACTAATATATATATATATATATATATATATATATATATATTAAATGCATGCAAATACATCCACAGAATTATCTCTCTCTTAAAATTTAATTTAACAAACACATAAAATATTTACCTGGTGATTGATCTGCATAACTAATTATCAACTTAAATAAACAACTACATAAATAAAGATATAAATAAATATATATAAATAAATATATTTAAGTAAGTATACTTATATACCTGAGTATAGCTCTCTCTCCTTCATCTCTACCCCCTCCGACTTGCAAGAACTGCGCGTCGCGCCCGTCAGAGCCGACGACCACCAAAGCAGGCAAAGCAGCACGGGGGCCCTGGCCTAGGCCTGGGACAGCGTACTCTCTCTCTACCTGCAGCAGCAGCAGCAGCAGCAGCAGCAATAGAAAGGGGTGCAGCAGGAGGTGCAGCAACGGGAAGGGGTAGAAGAAGAAGAAGAAAGAGAGCACGAGAGACTTATATCAACTTGTGTTGGTTGTATCAGTCATGTACACTCGAAGAACATCAAAGCTAGCTAGCTAGCTACCTAGCTAGCTGACTAGCTACCACCTAATTAGCCACCTAGCTAGCTAGCTATGCATCACCATCTAGCTAGCCACCTAGCTAGCTAGCTAGCCACCTAGGTATCTAAATACCTAGCTAGCTAGGTAAGTAAGTAGATAGAATAGGAGCTTACCCTGAAGTGTCTGAGGAGAATTGTCCTTAGAGGGTCGTGAAAGCCAACAACCAGCCAAGGCATGTGCTTAATGTGGTTGTTATATGATGCTTCGTCGCGATCGGCGGAGACGAAAACAACTTCTATCTTCTGGTGAGAACCCCCTTCGTTTACTGTGCGGTAAAACTAAACAAAACATCAAAAACAAATATATATATATATATATTTATTTATATAACCCTAAATACATCAATATATATAAATGTACAAATATATATTTATGTAGGTGTACATACATATAAAGAAATTATACAGAGAGAGAGGCAAACAAATACATACATATATATATATATATATGTATACATATATGTATATATATATATATATACATGCATACATATATATATATATATATGTGCATATATGTATATATATATGTGTATATATATATAGATATATATATGATTTACACAAAAAGTTAAGAAAGATAGAATTCGTAGATATATATAATAATAAATATATTGTCTATATTACGTATTCTATATCATATATACATCTATATATATATATAAATATATATATATATAAGTATATATATTTATATTTATATATATACATGAAGTAGACTGCAGATAATGAGTACACTAAAGAAGTACTAAATCTTACCTGAAGAAGAAACGGAAGAAAGCTGCTGCACTTGGGGCTGCTGCTGTCAGCAAAGTAGAGACCAACAGATTTACCTATTAAGTGCTGCTGCGAGACGACGTTTCCGTTTGCGTCTCTTAAGCTTCCCTCCGGGAACAGTATTAAATCTATTCAAACCACAAACCACAAACCCTAATCAACCCTTATACACCCTAATTAACCCTTAACCCTAGGCGAAACGGAAGCAGTAACTGCAACAGAAACAAATGCAAATGAAACTCCAGCTGCTGATGCTGCAGTTGCTGCTGCTGTTGCTGCTGTTGCAGCAGCAACTCCAGCAGCAACTGCAGCAGCAACTGCAGCAGCAACTGCAGCAGCAACTGCAGCAGCAACTGCAGCAGCAACTGCAGCAGCAGCAGGGAATAGAGGGTGTTTCACAACGACAAAGAGATAAATCATTCTGAAATATATAGCAGCATATTCCTATAGAAATAATATTCCTGAAGCCAGCAGATGGTGATCTAGCTGTTGCTGCTGCTGCTGCTGTTGCTGTCGCTGCTGCTGCTGCTGCTGCTGTTGCGTTTGTTGCTGCATTAAAAGGATTAAATATATGAATTATAGATTAATTTATGAATAAATCTTACCCATATCTCTGTAAGCTGGAGGCATCGGTGCTGCTGCTGCTGCACCATCCTTAGCTGCTGCAGCCATTGCCTGCTCTTCATTGTAGCGGCGCTTCTCTGTGTTATACGGGGAGCAATACTGAGGAAACATTGCTGTAATAAGGCTTAAAATGAAGTAAATAATATGAATAAAGGAGATAACCTGCGAAAAACTATGAAAATATACATGAATATACACTGCATTAACCAAGCAGCAACCACCGAGACTGCGTTAGGCCAATGGGCGCGAGGCAGCTAGTCCAGCGGTAGGCCAGCGGTGCGTTTTATCGAGAAAAAGAAGAAAATAAGCATTTAATTCAATATTAAATAAGTATTTTTATTTAAATATAATATTTAAACATATTAATTTCTTTATTTTAAGGCATTTTTCGCAAGAATACCCGTTCAGCCGGTGTTATAGCCAAGTATCGACAGACTCGCGCAGTAAACCACTCCATAAGGAAAGATCTGTATGTACGCTTGAATAGGTTTTCTTTATTTTATTCTTGTATTCGTATATTTATTCTTTTATTTATTGTTTTTTCTACGGTTTTATATATGCATAAGGCATTACTAACCCTTGGAGCTGCGTTGGCTCGATACTCTCATTCATAGCAGTCTCAGCGCACAAACCCTAAACCCTAAACCCCAAACCCTAAACCCTAGAGCCTCTGAAGCATCAAAAAGAAGTCGCTGATGAGACGCAGTTGTTTATACTTGTGCTCTTCTTGTTTCTCCTACGCCCTTCTCTGGGTTTTTTCTACAAACTCACAGACAACGAAGTAAAAAAATAAATCAAAAACAAACAAAAACAAACCTTCAGCTTTATGCATCTATGCATGCGCTTCGTAGAAGGAGTTTCTGTCTCTGTAGGAACTCCACCATAAGCTGCGACAGAGTCAAAGTGATAGAGATAATAGTCTTTTTAAAAGCAACAGATAACACGCCTATTCTTCAGACAGTAAGAATCTAGATGAAGGGAAGCAGGAGAAGCTGCTGCTGCTGTTGCTGCAGTGCCCAGAAGAAGCAGCCTCATATGAGGTTTAGCAGTTGTCTATAATTCATTTTGCTGCAGCTGCTGCTCGAACCCTACCTCCGCGTTTAAACATCGCGAAGCGCCATTCTGAAGCATATACCAGCAGCACAGATAATCAATAGACACCTCACTGCAGCTAAGTAGTCAGTGTGCATGCATGCTTGCATGCATGACAGTGCATGCAGCACCTCTCCCCACACCACTCCCTAAACAATAAGCCCTTCTATCCCTGTCTACAACAAGAGAGAGAAAAGAGTTAGTAAGAGTTTGCGGGTCTTGTCTTGCATTTTTAACTAAAACTTTGATGATACATTTTTTGCTGATATAGCTCAAAGATAAAGAAGCTGAAAATACATTTATATTATTAAATAAATTTGTTAAATTTAAAAATTGTATATGTGAATAAGTCTGAGCTCTGCCGGCCGCTACATCGATACTTCTTTGTCTAGGGTCTCTGTCCCCTTCAGTCTCCTATAGGTGATTAGGTGACTTGTTTTTGTGTTTGTTTTCCTTGCTTAATGCGGTTAGAGTATACAGTGGAAGCCAGAGAGCTGAACTTAAATCAAAGAGAGCAACAGCCTCCCTATCTAGTAAATTAAAGACAAGCCCGGTGGCTTGTCTTTGTTTCTTTTGAAATAAAGACAAGCCACCGGGCTTAAAAGCAACTTCCTAGCGTCGTTTTGTTTGTTTTTGTTGTCTTGTGCTCTCGTGCTTTCTTCATTATTTCCTAAGTTGCTGCAATGTGTATGCAGAATTATGCAGTTGAGGGGATAAGGGGCTTGCTGCTAACTAGCCAGTTTCTATGTAAGGTCAACCACACTATACTTCGGTCCCTAAACCCAAATAAACAACGAAAATATGCTTGCAGCCATACACCTTGCTTGCATGCGTGTTGCTGCTGCCGGCAACAGCAGCAACAACAACAACAACAGTAGCAGCAGCAGCAGCTGATGTTTCGGTGTAGACCAGGAAAGCTGTAGAGTATATCATTTTAGCTCTGTTGGGGAGTCTGAAGACTGTACAGCAATATTGCTTTAATATTCAGGAAGAAGAAGAACCTCATATTTAACTTCGACGGACAGCGTAGACCCCCGAACAGATCTACTAGCCGTTCTCTTCAATGTTGTGTTAACCCCTCCATTACATACTAGTGTATAATATTAAGCATTGTACGCATACTTCCTGTTTTACAAATAGATGCTGTGACCTCTGAACAGAGGCACTCAGGCTTCTCCTAGATAAACAAGAGATACTTTTCTTTAGAGCTCCAATGTTAACCCTTCTCCCTTTGTTAGGCTTTGCAACTACGTGCGTATCTACGTGGAAAGAGATATGCAAATTAGAAAGGAAATGGAAGCCATTGCAGAGATATGCAGTTGAAGAAGAAAGCAACTGGCGGGGAGCATGCCTCAGAAGGCACTTTGTTGATTCTTGTAGCTAAACCCGTACATCATGTACGCGCATGCATGCATTGATGCATGCATGCAGATAAGATAAAAAAAGAAAATAATAAACCCAATAGATATTGTGGAGACTCCCCTTGTCTACAAAGCATGGAAAGTAAATAAACTTTTTATTTATAAACTTCCGTCGCCGGGACTTGAACCCGGGTCGCGCGGGTGAGAGCCGCGTATCCTAACCACCTAGACTACGACGGATGTTCTTCTTGTGTTTCCAGTAGCATCTCTTAACAAAAAAAGATTTAATTAGGGGTTATATAAGTGCTGCTCTTCACCTGAGAAGAGGTATATAGTGGCTGCTAATCGACGGGTCTATATATATATATATATATATATATATATATATATATAGATGCTAGCTAGGCCTGGAAAGGAAAAGAGTTGCTGCGTATAAATATCTCTAGCTAAATGAGAAAGGAGACACCTCTCCTGAGCCTTAGCGCTTTTTGCTGCAAGTTAATATGAGTCTCCACCACCTCCCGTTACAACTCCAGCACTTAAGGCGATCCCCTTCAAAGCAACTCCTCATGCCAGCACCCTTAGACACTTCAGTACAATTTCAGTCGATTGTTGAGGTTTTATTTAGCACTCCCTAGAAAGCAAAAGCACTTTAGAAATAATAATTTAAGCTCGTACTTATGAGGGACTCTGGTGTATCTACAACGGGCAGCAACGCCTTCCATAGAGAAGTGCAGTGATATTCTATCTGTTATGAATTGAACATACTAAGCACAAGTACTTTCTTTCATACTCTTGTAGATGGCCCAATAGAGTGCATGCCCTGGAGCTCCTTACCGCTATATTATTATTTATCTAAGAATAGTAACTCCCGGCGCCGGCGTCTTCCTGCTGCATCCCTGCACTTTAATGCATGCATGGAAACGCAGGGGTAAGCAGCCGCATGCAAAGGAGGATATGAGGATTAAGAAGAAAAAAGACAAAGAAAAGAGAAGCAAAACAAAGAGAAAAGCCTAATCACAAGACAGCAACGACATGCAGATAGGGAAGAACAAAGAACAGCAAACCGTAACCACAGTTTGCTGCCCCACATAATTAGAAACAAAAAGACAGAGTAAAAAACACAAGAGAAGGGGGTCTACAGATTTGCCATCACTACCCGCAGTCAGCTGTCTCTGTCTTTAAGTGTTGTCTTCAGGCCTTCGTAATGCTGCACTGAGAGTTAAAACAGATCAAGAGATCGCTAGATAAGGGCCCCCAAAGAGAAGCTAAAAGTTCATTCTGTCTACAGAAGCCGAAGGCACAGCAGCACAAGGGCTTGAGACTAATGCAAGAAAGGAAGCTGTCTCTAGGAAGTTGTAGCACGCCTTGCTATATCTCCTGTTGCTTAAAGGCTTAGTCTTGCATGCACGCATGCATGCAATGAAAGGTAATATTGCATGCATGCATGCATACATGCATGCACGCATGCATGCATGCAAGACTAAAGGTAGTATTGCATATATGCATGCACGCAAGACTAAAGGTAGTATTGCATGCATGCATGCATGCAAGACTAAAGGTAGTATTGCGTGCATGCATGCTAAAGGCCCCCCTCTCTATTGCATGCACCAACAGCGTCGATGGTTGTTAGACGTTGCCTTTGCTTTTATTTGCTAACATCGACGCAAACATCGATGCATGCAGCTACCCTTGAATAAGCCATATGATAAAGAGTGAGAGTAAGACAGTTTATACACCTCAAACTATGAGGCTGCTGCACCCCACAGATAGATGCAGCAGCGCTATAAGCAGAGGCCTGTCTTGGGTTTGCTTCTCCTGTTAAGCTGCTTTGTTAGAAACTCTTATATATGCTGCACCTTAGCCGCAGACTGCACTTCAAAAGCTTTGTTGTCTCCTTATATTATCTGTCTCTTCTCCTTCCTGAGCTTCTCCTCTATGTTTTTTTTGCATGCGCCTTCAGAGTAAGTGAAGACAGAGAGTCATACAAACCCTCTGCCCCCATCTCTGCTGCTGCAGCTAGCCACAGCTTGCTGCTGCAGCGAGCAGCAGAAGGAAGCTGCTAGTCTGAGCCTAAGGAGCAGCATATATAAGAGTTGTGTATACAGAGTAGTTTAACAGAAGAAGCAAATATAAGAGATCGCCCTGCTTATAGCGCTGCTGCATCTATCTGTGGGGTGCAGCAGCAATATAGTTTGAGGTGTATCCACACCTGAAATTAGTTTTATCTCTGTTTTATTATTATAATTATATATTATCATCTTTATAACAACTGCAGGTTATGAGCACTTCTGCTAGAAAGGAGAGATGAAGGGGCCCCCAATGTTATAATATTTAATTAAAACAAAAAAAATCAAAAAGAAGAAAGCAGCAAAAAGGAAGGCAGCAGAGAACAGCAGCAGCGGACCGTTGGACAGGGGGCTGTCCTGCTGCTGCTGCTGCTGCTGTTGCTGCTGTTGCTGCCTGCTGTATCTTCTCCTTTCTTCTAATTAAAATACTTCAATATGCATGCATACAGTTATTAATTACTTTTTCTTGTTTATAGAAATAAATATACACAAAGACTGTCTACTGAAGTCTACAGACAAACTGCAGGCGAGGCGCCCCCCAGGGCTTACAGCAGCAGCAGCAGCTGCTGCTGCTGCAGCTGCTGCTGCATCTGTTTTTGTTTTTGTTGTTCTTTCTTGGGGTGTTTGCTGCTGAGGCTGTGCGCTGCCTCGCTCTCCTTCATGGTTGCTGCTGCGTACACGCCGCTCAGCAGCTGCAGCAGCAGCAGCAGCAGCAGCAGCAGCAGTTGCTGCTATCTGCAGCATCACACACACCCAAGCAGGGCCCCCTGTCTGCAGAAGCAGACTAAAACGCGAGAATGCTGGGGCCCGGGCCCATGCCTGCTGCTGAACCACCGGGAGAAGCTGCTGCAGCAACAGCAGCAGCAACAGCAGCAGCAACAGCAGCAGCAACAGCAGCAGCAGGTCAGGAACCTTATCCTTCAGCTTTGCCAACTGCCACGGCTTCACCGCGCCTTAGCAAGCGATCAACACCTGAAAATGAGGGTCCAGTGCCCAGCAGCAGCAGCAGCAGCAGCAGCAGTAGAAGCAGCAGCAGCAGCAGCAGCAGCAAGCTTGTTGGCAGCAGCAACAGCAGGCTGCTTAGCAGCACAAACACCTGCCGCGTCCCGATTTTGCTTAAGGGAGACGCAGACTGCTTCGTTGCTGTCAATGTGGGGGGCCTAGTGGCCGTGCCTTCTCTTGAGCAGCAGCAGCAGCAGCAGCAGCAGAAACAGCAGCAGCAGCAGCAGCAGCAACAGCACGCCGCTTGCTGCTGCTGCTCAGAGGCCAGAGGAGACCCCAGAGCTGCAGCATTTTTAGTTACTGCAACTCTCTTTGTAGACGGACGCAGAGCAGCACCCCCATGCCTGCTGCTGCCTCCCATGCAACAGCAGCAGCAGCAGCAGCAACAGCAGCAGCAGCAGCAGCAGGGCGCATGCAGTGCAGCGGAAGTGCAGCACGCTGAAGCAATCACCAGTGAAAAGCAGCTGCAGCTCTGGCCTCTCCCCTGCCTCCACAGCTTGATTGGTTTATCTTCCTGTTCTGCTGCTGCTGCTGTTGCTGCTCCTGCTGCTGCTGCTGATCCAGCAGCTACTGCAGCATCCACTGCTGCTGCCGATCCACTGCAGCGTAGCGACCGAAAGGACGCAGCAACAGCAGCAGCAGAAGCAGCAGGACCTGCTGCTGCTGCTGCAGCAGAAATATCATGCAAACAGCCGGCTAGTCAGATCGCCAAAGATGCGGTAGGGGAGGAAACAAGCAGCAGCAGCAACGGCAGCAGCAGCAGCAACAGCAGCAGCAGCAGCAGGTGCTGCTGCACGCACTGCGGGGTGAACTATATCTCGTTGCAGCAGCTGCTGCGGCTGCCTGTGAAGATATCTGCATTGCCGTTAAATGCTTTGCTGCTGTTTGGAGTGTACGTACATGATGGCCTATCTGCTGCTGCTGCTGCAGGTGCACCCTTAGCAGCAGCAGCAGCAGCAGGAGCAACAGCAGCAGAGATCGCAGCAGCAGGAGACGGCTGGAGACTCTTTGGTGTTGCTTTAATGCCTCTTCATGATGCTGCTGCATGCGTGAAGCAAGGGAGGCACTTGCTGCCAATCCACTTGCTGCAGCACTACCTGCCGCTGCTCCCCCTCAGCAGCAGCAGCAGCAGCAGCAGCAGCAGCGTGCAGCTGCAAAGCCACCTCCAACAGCAGCAGGCGCTTGCAGCTCTTAGAGATGCCACGCTGCCTCTGTCGCTGCAGCGGCTGCAGTGCAGCCCCCCAGATGCAGCAGCAGCAACAACAACAACTGCTGCATCAACGACAGCAGCAGCAGCAGAGTCATTTGGCTGGACAGCAGAGACCGTGTTGTCGCTGCTGTGCTCCCCGAGTGGAGTGGCAGCAGGAGAGCAGCAGCAGCAACGGAAGCAGCAGCAGCAGCAGCAGCAGCAGCTGGAGCAGCAGCAGCAACTGCTGCTTGAGAGAGTAGAGATCGAAGCAGCAGCAGTTCGCTGCTGCCGGCTGCTGCACTTGCTGCAGTGTGGGGTGGTCCCTCCTGCTGCAGAGGCGCTGGATGCAGCAGCACAGCAGCAGCTGCAGCAGCAGCTACAGCAGCACCTGCTGCTGCTGCAGCAGCTCGCCCAAGCAGACTATGAGGAGGCGTGGCTTCATATTGCTTCTGCAGCAGCAGGCCCAGGAGCGGCTGCCCCAGCAGCAGCAGCAGCAGCAACACCATCATCATCATCATCAGCAGCAGCAGCATCAGCAACAGCAACAGCAGCAGCAGCAGCAGCTCGCGTGCCTTTTGGGGGTTTTCTTTACGTTGAGGTTCCTTCTTATGGTTTGCCGCTGCTGCACGGGGAGCTGCGTTTGCTTCGTTCTGGTGCTGCTGCAGCACTCGGCTCAGCAGCAGCAGGGCTGCAGCAGCAGCGACAGCCACCGCTGCTGCTGCAGCAGCCTGCTGCTCTTGGCAGCAAAATGCCTCTTCCTCTCTTTTACCCACCACGAATAAACAAAGCGCATGCAGCACCCCCTGTAGCTCCTGTGGAAGCAGCAAAGCTGCTGCTGCTGCAGCAGCAGCAGCAACAGCAAGAGGAGCTGCTGCAAAAGCGGCAGCAGCAGAGAGCAGAACTGCTGCTGCAGCAGCGGCTCCAACCCAAACAACCAGAAGCAGCTGCTGCACCACGCCAACCCGCAGCAGCAGCAGCAACGCCAGGTGCTGGAGCATCAGGCACAGCGACGGCAGACTCAGAAGCGGCAGCAGCAGCAGCAGCAGCAGCAGCAGCGAGTCCTGCTCCGCGTAACTGGATGAGCAGGACTTGGGGCATTGCTCCTCTGGCTCCGGTTAGCGCAGCAGCAGCAACAACAGCAGCACAAGCAGCAGCAACAGCAGCAGCACCAGCAGCAGGATATGAACGACAGGCTGACTATGCAGTTGCAGAGAGCAAGGAGGGGTACCAGCGACAACCAGGAGCAGCAGATGCGCGCGAAGCAGCAGAAACAGCAGCAGCACAAGCAGCAACAGGGGCGGCCGCTGTAGGCCTTGACGGTGCAGCAGAAGGCTCCGCTGCTGCTGCTGCTGCTGCTGCTGTAGGCGCCGCAGAAGGAGCAGCAGGTGCCGCAGGGGACCTATTGGCAGCGGGCCCGCCGGATGAAGAAGGCACGCAGCAGCAGCAGCAGCAGCAGCAGCAGCAACAGGACGAGCAGCAGCAGCGCAGTTGGAAGCTGCTGCTGCGCAACCCATCTGTTGCAGAGCGGCTGCAGCGGCGGCTGCTGCTGCACGATGCCTCTTGGGGTGTCACTCATCCGGCTGCAGCACGGGCTGTACAGGCACCTCTTCACAGCTCTTCCTGTATGCTATTGCTGCTGCTGCTGTTGCTGTTGGAGCTGCTGCTGTTCTTCCTGTTACTGGTGTTGCTGCTGCTGCTGCTGCTGCTTCTGGAGCTGCTGCTGTTGTTGCTGCTTCTGGCGGTGCTGCTGCTGCATGCGGTTGGGGAGATTCTGTGCTTAGCGTGCGCGTGACTATCATGCGGGGTTGCATTCCTGCTGCTGCTGCTGCTGTTGCTGCTGCTGCTGCTGCTGCTGCTGTGTTGCTGCAGCAGCAACAGCAAGCCAACTGCCGCCTGCGACCGTCACCCGAGCCTTTCAGCGGTCTTTCTTAGGGGGGGGGCCCTCAGGCGCAGTGCCTAAGGAAGAACGTACTCTACTATGGGCATACAGGTTTGCTGCTGCTGCTGCTGCTGCTGATGCTGCTGCTGCTGCTCTTGATACTGCTCTTGCTATTGCTCTTGCTATTCCTCTTGCTGCTACTCCCGCTGATGGTGCTTTTGCTCCTGCTGCTTCTTCAGCTGCTTCGGCTGCTGCTGCTGTTCCTGCTGCTGCTGCTTGTGGCTTTGCTTCTGCTGGTGTTGCTGCGGCTTCTCTTGCGCTGCCACTGCAGTCTTTCGTTGCTCTTCCCGTTGCTGCTGCTGCTGCTGCGTTTGTTTGCTGCTGCTGCAGACATCAGTTGCTGCGGACCCCGTTCGCATTGCCTAGGCTGCTTCAGATTGTCGATTGGAGCAGCAGCAGCAGTGGCAGCAGCCCTCAGCAGCAGCAGCAGCAGCGGCAGCAGCAGCAGGAGGCGCTGGAGCTGCTGCAAGAAGTAGATGCTTCTCTTTTGTGCGTTGAGGACATCCTGGGTTTGCTGCTCTTTTCGACAGAAGTAGAGCCAGCAGCAGCAGCAGCAGCAGCAGCAGCAGCAGCGGCAGCAGCGGGAGGCGGCCATGGCCCTGCAGCGGGTCCCAGTGTTGCTGAAGCGCCCAGCAGCAGCAGCAGCAGCAGCAGCAGCATTGCTGCAGCAGTGCATGCAAAAGTCAAGCAGCTAGCAGCACAGGGCATTGATGCTGCACCTGAGGAGGAGGTTCTTTTCTTTATGCAGCAGCTCGTACAACTCATTAGGTGCTGCTGCTGCTGCTGCTGTTGTTGCTGCTGCTGTTGCTGCTGCTGCTGTCGCTGCTTCTGCTGCTGCTGCTTTTCTGTTGTTTCTGCTGCTGCTTCTCGTCCCCTTGCAACATGCAACTGCTGCTGCTGCTGCTGCTGCTGCTGCTGCTCAGGACAGACCAGCACGTGTGCTGCAGCGGTGGCCGTTTATCTGCTGCTCTCATTCGCCGCTGCGCAGCAAATTTGTCTCTGGCTCTCAGCTTTTATTGGCTGCTGCAGGCAGGGAAGGAACATTCGGTTAGCTGCTGCTGCTGCTGCTGCTGCTGTTGCTGCTGCTTTCGTCTCCTTTTACTGCTGCTGCTGTCGTTTCCCTTTGCTGGTGCTGATTTCGTCGACAAACCCTAAACCCTAAACCCTAAACCCTAAACCCTTTTTGCGTTGGAGTTCAGGCAGACGGCCATTTGTATGTGCGGGCGGAGCAGCGCTTCCTCGACTGTCTCCGCAGAAGGAGACGCCGTCTATACACCTCAGCAGCACCTCACCACAAGCAGCAGCAGCAGCAGCAACAGCAGCAGCTGCACCCCCGTGTGCGGCAGCAGGCCGAAACAGCGGATAATATCCTGCGGCTTCTTGAGAGACAGGTGCTGCAGTAAAACCACAAATAGCAGCAGCAGCAACAACAGCAGCAACAGATGCTGCTGCTGCTGCTGCTGCTGCAGCTTCTCCGTGGTGTAGCTGCATTTGCGTTTGCTGGTGCTGCTGAGGTCTCTGCTCCTTCCGCTGCTGGTCCTGCAGTAACTGCTGTTGCTGCTGCTGCCGCTGGTGCTGCTGTTTGATTGCGTGTTTGGGATTGCTTTGTGCTGCTGCTGCTGCTGCTGTTGCTGCTGCAGCGGGCGCTGCGCAGTTTGCTGCTGTCGCTCAACACGAAGCTAAAGTCCAGGAGGGAGAGGGTAGACAGAAGATCAGAGAGACTGAGGTTGCTGCTGCAGGTAAGGAGACGGCACCAACTGCTGCTGCTGTTGCTGCTGCTGCTGTTGCTGCTGCTGTTGTTGCTGCTGCTGTTGTTGCTGCTGTTGCTGAGGCTGCTGTTGCTGCTGCTGTGTTTAGTTTTCATATTGCCCACTGTTGCTGCGTGATGCCTCATCTGTTGCTGCTGCGGTGTTGTTTTTGCTTTTGTTGCTGCTGCTGCTGCTGCAGCGGCTGTGCCGGGATGGCTTTCGGTCTCTGCTTCCGCTGGTGGAGCAGCAAGAAGGTGCAGACCTGCCGCAGCAGCAGCAGCAGCAGCAGCAGCTGTTGCTGCTGCAGAAGAGTGATGAAGGCTCGCTTGAAAGGGAAGCTGTGGAGGCGGATGGGGAGCATACTCAGACACAAGTTGCTGCTGCAGTTGCTGCAGCAGCAGCAGCAACAGAAAATGCAGAAACAGCAGGGGTCCCCGCAGCAGCAGCTTCTGGAGGCGCAGGTGCTGGAGCAGCAGCAGCAGCAGCAGCAGCAGCAGATGGTGGGGTGGCTGCTGCTGAGGGGGTCTCCGTTGTCGAGAGTTTGCTGCAGGCCTGTGTGGGGGGGCCGCAATCTGCAGCAGAGGCAGCAGCAACAGCAGCAGCAGCAGCAGCAGCAGCAGAATACGGTATTCCTCTGCCGTTTGATTCTTCTTCTGTGCTGCTGCATATTGTTGCTGAAGATTGCTACGTAATGAAGAGCAGCCAGTACCCATTAGTAATAAGGGGTCTTATATATCAGCAGCAGCAGCAGCAGCACCCGCAGCAGCACCCACAGCAGCAGCAGCACCCGCAGCAGCAGCAGCAGCAGCAGCAGCAAGGGGCCCTTAGGCTGCAGCGCTTCCTCTATAAAGCTGATGATGACTTGCGACAAGATGTTTTGATGCTGCAGTTAATTTCGTACATGGATCGTGTGCTGCGCCTCTACGGCTTAGACTTAAAACTCACTCCCTACAAGGTTAGCTAGCTAGCTAGCTAGCTAGCTAGATAGCTAGCCAAATAGATAGATAGGTAGATAGATAGATAGATCAAGTGGCTAGCTAGCTAGCTAGCTAGATAAGGAGCTAGCTAGGTAAGTGGCTAGGCAGCTACATTGGTAGATAGATAGATAGGTAACTGGCTGGCTAGCTAGCTAGCTAGCCAGTTAGATACGTAGCTAGCTAGCTAGCTAGCTAGCCAGTTAGCTACGTGGCTAGCTAGCTAGCTAGCCACCTATCTATGTGTCTATCTAGCTGTATAAGTAGCTAGCTAAGAGGCAATTAGTGAAGCAGCAAAGGGCTGCTGCAGTTGCAGCGTCTGCAGCAGCAGCGTTTTCAGGGCTGGACCTCCCAACAGTCAGGGTTTAGGGTTTAGGGTTTAGGGTTTAGGGTTTGTGTGTGCAGGTTGTTGCTTTTTCTGCTTCTGACGGGATGATAGAGTTCTTGGAAGGCTGCGTCTCCTTCGCTCAAATTAAAAGAGAAAATAAATCGCTGCTCTCCTACCTGGAGTCCCTCAGCAGCAGCAGCAGCAGCAGCAGCAGCAGCAGCAGCAGCAGCAGCAGCAGCAATAGCAACAGCAACAACAACAACAGCAGCAACAGCAGCAACACCACCAACAACAGCAACAGCAGCACCAACAGCAGCAGCAGCAGCAGCAACAGCAGCAGCAGCACCAACAGCAGCAGCAGCAGCAGCAACAGCAGCAGCAGCAGCAGCAGCAAGGAGGAGTTGAAGAGAAATTTTCTTGCTTCTTGTGCTGGGTACTGCGTCGTAACATATTTGCTGGGGATCGGGGATCGGCACCTCGACAATTTGCTGCTAAACACAGACGGAAAGATGCTGCATATTGACTTTGGGTTTATCTTAGGAGAAGGTATTCAGCTGCTGCTGCTGCTGCTGCTGCTGCTGCTGATGCTGCTGATGCTGCTGCTGATGCTCTTGCTGTTGCTGATGCTGCTGATGCTGCTGCTGATGCTCTTGCTGTTGCTGATGCTCCTCCTGCTGCTGCTGATGCTACTGCTCATGCTGCCGATGCTCTTGCTGCTGCTGATGCTGCTGCTTTTGATGCTGCTCTTCATGCTGCTACTGCTACTTTTGCTGCTGCTTTTGCTGCTTTTGCTGCTGCTTTTTGTTACTGATACTGGTGCATATGCACCTTGTGCTGCTCTTGCTGCTCCATGTGCTGCATGTGCTGCTGCATGTGCATGTGCATGTGCTGCTGCATGTGCTGCTGCTGCTGCTGCTCAGACCCTAAGCCGTTTGCTCCAGCGATGAAGATATGCAAGGAAATGATAGAAGTTGTGGGGTCCTTGAACTCTGCTGAGTTTTCTTACTTTCTTCATTTATGTTGTTTATCTTTTAAGTATTTGAGACTGCATGCACATCCGATCTGCCTTTTGTTGGAGTGTATGACCACCTCAACGCTAAAAGACATCGTTAAAAACCTCGTCAGAATACCCGAAAAACAGCAGCAGCAGCAGCAGCAGCAGCAGCAGCAGCAGCAAGTGCAGCAAATGCAGCAAGTGCAGCAGCCGAAGGTTAACGGGACGTCGCCGCCGCTTGTTGCGGAAATTGCTGCTGCTGCTGCTCCTGCTGCTGCTGGTTCTCCTCCTGCTGCTGCTCTAGCAGCAGATATTTCCTCTGGAGCTGCTGCTGCCCTGCAGCAGCAGCAACAGCAGCAGCAAACGCAGCAGCAAGTGCAGCAGCAGACGGTACGTGCTGCACCGCCAGTAGGGGTCCGGCCCCCAGAATATAACGGGGAGGCTTCAACAGCAACAGCAGCAGCAGCAGCAGCAGCAAATGCAACAGCAGCAAGTGCAGCAGCAGCAGCAGCAGCACGATCGGGAGGAAGTTGGGCTCCTAGTTTGCTGGGCACAGCAACAACTGCTGCATGCAGTCCGTCTCCTGCTGCAGCCCCTGCACCCCCCACCGCCAGCAGCAACAGCAACAGCAGCAGCAGCAGCAGCAGCAGCAGCAGCAGTGGGTGCCGTGTGGTTTGTTCAGCTATGGAGAGACTTAAGCGACGCTTCTTTCTTAATTACTCTGACGAAGAAGCAGAAGCAGCTCTCGTGTCTGTTATTTTAAACTCTGCAGGCTCTCTTCTACCTGCTGTCGTCGACAGACTTCATGAGTGGGCTCTCTACTGGAAGTAATATATTTGCTGTTTATACTGTTTTCAGCAGCAAATGCTGCAGCAGCAAATGCTGCAGCAGCAAATGCTGTAGCAGCAAATGCTGCAGCAGCAAATGCTGTAGCAGCAAATGCTGTAGCAAAAGCTGCAGCAGGAAATGCAGCAGCAGAAGCTGCACCAGAAGAAGCTGCAGAAGCAGTAGCTGCAGCAGAAGCTGCTGCAGCAGAAGCTGCTGCAGCAGAAGAAGCTGTAGCAGGAAATGCAGCAGCAGAAGAAGGTGCAGCAGGAAATGCAGCAGCAGCAGCGGAACAACAGGTGGAGCAGCTGCTGCTGCAGCTGCTGCGGTGCCAGTGGCTGCAAACGGCTTCCGTATACAGCATACTTTGCCTGCTGCTGCTGCTGCTGCTGCTGCTGCTGCTGCTGCTGCAGTGTTTAGCAGCAAGGCGCTTGTTGATCGTCTTCTTTCTTGCGGTTGGATCTGCATCCGTTTGCAGCAACCCAAATCGCGTTATTTATTTTATCTATTTAATTTATTTATTTATTTAATTTAGTTATTTATTTTATTTATTTATTTACTTACTGTGTCTTTACTTGTCTATCTATATGTATGGATGAATGCATGTAGATATATATATATATATAGCTATCTAGCTAGCTAGCTAGCTATCTATCAATCTATTTAGCTGTCTATTTATATATCTATATATTCTATCAATCTATTTGTTTATCTATCTATATATTTAGCTTTCTATCTATATAGCAAGCTTGCTAGCTATCTGTCAATCTATCTAGCTAGTTAGCTATCTATCTATCTATTTAGGTAGTCAGCTATCAAGCTAGCTGGCTATCTATCTATCTAGCCGTCTATCTACCTAGGTAGCTAGCTAGCTAGCTAGCTAGCTGGGCGAGTCCCTTAGAACGAACACCACCTACAGAAAAATCGCCGTTCAGCTAGCTGGCTAGCTGTATAGATAGCTAGCTAGCTGTACAGATAGCTAGCTAGCTAGCTGTATGAATAACTAGCTCGCCAGCTGAATAGCTAGCTAGCTAGCTAGCTAGCTATACAGCACTAGCTGAGCTCGCTGCCCAGGTGTACAGGGAAGAAACCCTCTAACAAGAAAGGCTCGAACAGTCGCCAGTAGGGTTTAGGGTTTAGGGTTTAGAGGTGTCTGCGCATATGCACGGTGCAATCAGCTATGTTCCGCAAGAGCGGAAGATATATATGCAATTTACCCTCCCTTAGATACAGGTTTGCTGCTGCTGCTGCTGCTGCTGCTGCTGCTGCTGCTGCACATTTGCTGCTGAAACGCCACAGCAGCGGGAGCAGCAGCAGCATCAGCAGCAGCAACGGGCAGCAGCAGCAGGCCGCAGCAAAGCAGAGGAGAAACCCAACGGAAAATACATCCGCCGCAGCTGTCTCAGATTTTGCTGCTGCTGCTGCAGTACGTGCTGCTGCTGCTGCTGCTGCAGCAAATGCATAACCCTCTTCTCCTACGAAAAGACTCCACCCCCTAACATTAAAACGAATTGGCATCAGGCAGCAGCAACTTGCTGAAGGCTAGCTGCTGCTGTTGCTCTTGCTGCTGCTGTTGCTGCTGCTAGAGTTGCTGCTGCTGCTGCTGCTGCTGCTGCAGTAACTGCAAGCAACGACAGCAGCCAGACAGCCACTCCACAGAAACCCCTGTCCATACACCTCAGTATCTGGGGTTTAGGGTTTAGGGTTTAGGGTTTAGGGTTTAGGGCACCCACCTTCAGCCCCAGGAGGAGCAGCAGGAGCAGCAGCAGCAGCAGCAGCTGCAAACAGCAGCAGGAGCTGCTGCTGTTCGCTCCTGATGCTTCTTCTTGCTGCGTGCATTAATCAAAACCTAAAAATAAAAAATATTTGCAGAAGGAAGTACCCGAATACGGCTTCCTCCGGGAGGTGAGCAGCAGCAGCAGCAGCGACAGCAGCAGCAGCCGGAGCAGCAGCAGCAGCAGCAGCAGCAGCAACAGCAGCAGCAGTTACTTAAGCCCCAATAAGCGGGGACGCAAATGCCCCGCTGAGGTCACTCTTCTCTATCTAAACCCTAAACACTAAACCCTAAACCCTAAACCCTAAACCCTATCCAGTTTATTGCTTCGTGGGTTTACCAGGGTCATAAGACGAAGGCCCTGCTGCAGCAGCAGCAGGGAGCGGCGGCGACAGCAGCAGGAGCCGGCGCAGCAGCAGCAGCAAACCCCTAAAGAAGCTGCAGCAAGAGAGCATACCTTAGCAGCAGAAGCAGCAGCAGCAAAAGAAGCAGCAGCAGCAGCAAACCCTCTTTTTGATTTCGCCGCCAGAGGCAGGAGACAGCAGGCAGATGAGCCCCAAGGGACCGTGCTGCAGCAGCAGCAGCAACAACAACAACAACGAAAACAAGAGCACAAACAAAAGAAGCAGCAGCAAAAGCAGCAGCAGCAGCAGCAGCAGCAGCATTCGATAAAAGAAGAAGGAGCTCTTCTTGATGTGGACTCTCTGCTGCTTCTCCTCTGCTGCGGCACTGCAGTCTGCCCCCGCTGCATTTGTATTTGCTGCTTGCTGCTGCTGCCCTTGCTGCAAGCACAAGCAGCAGCAGCAGCAGCAGTAGCAGCAGCAGCAGCAGCTGCTGAAGCTGCTGCCCCACACCGCAGACAAAGGGGGCTCCACAGGCTGCCGCTCTTGCAGCAGCTGCGGCAGCAGCAGCGGCGGCAGCAGCTGCAGCAGCTGCTGCAGCAGCAAATACGCAACCCGCTGCTGCCTCCTAGCCCTAACGTAAATGATAGACAAGGAAGGGGGCCCCCCTAAGGGGCCTTCGAATGCAGCAGCAGCGCATGCAGCAGCAGAAGCAGCAACGCATGCAACAGCAGCAACGCATGCAACAGCAGCAAAGCATGCAGCAGCAGCAACGCATGCAGCAGCAGCAGACCATGCATCAGCCGCGACGACCAATGCAGCAGCAACGCATGCAGCAGCAGCAGCAACGCACGCAGTAGCAACGCATGCAGCAGCAGCAACAACAAATGCAGCAGCAACGCATGCAGCAGCAACGCGAGCAGCGGCAATACAAGCAGCAACAGGTGCACAAGCAGCTTCTAAACACGCAGCAGCATCAGAGGCATCGTCAGCACCACATGCAGCATCAGCAGCAAATGCAGCAGCAGCAAATGCAGCAGCAGCAAATGCAGCAGCAGCAGCAAATGCAGCAGCAGCGGATGCAGCAACAGAGGAAGCAGCAGGATATGCAACAGAGACGGGGGCCCCAAAGAAGAGAGGCAGTCATGTTTTTTTAGGTGTAGCTGCAGCAGGTGCTGCAGTGTTGCTGCTGCTGCTGCTGCTTTCTGGTGGTGAAGTATTTGAGCAGGTGCTGCAGGAGGAGTTGCTGCGCGATTCTGCTGCTGCAGCAGCAGCAACAGCAGCAGCAGCAGCTGCTGCTGCTGCTAAGGGCATCTTGCGGTGGCGTGCTCCTGTTGCAGACTTGCTGCAGGAGCAGGTGCTGCAGCAGCAGCTACTCCACCACGACTTGCTGCCCCTGCAGGAGCAGCAGCAGCAGGAGCAGCAGGAGCAGCAGCAGCAGATTGTAAGAGTAGACGGTGCAGGTTTTCCTATGCTTCCACCTAAAGAGGGTGCTTCGAGTGTATCTGAGCATCCGCTGCTGCTGCAGCACACAATGCAGCAGCAGCAACAGCTGCTGCTGTTGCTGCAGCTACAGCAGCAGCAGCGGCGGCGACGCGCAGCATCAGATGCGAGGGCAGCGCCCTCAATGCGCGTTTTACAGTCTTTAGTTCAAGCGCATGCAGGCGCCCGAGCTGCAGCAGCAGTAGCAGCAGCAGCAGCAGCAGCAGCAGCTCCAGCAGCAGCAGCAGCAGCGGAAGACGAAGAAGATATTGAAGAAGCTCTGCTGCGAGAGGGCTGGGGGGTTGAAGCAAATAAAAGGTTAAAGACAATTCGTCTACCTAAAGATTTGCGTGAATTGCTGCTAAGCGAGGGTGGCGTGGGGCTGCAAGAACTGCTGCTGGAGGCGAGCAGCAGCAGCAGCCGCAGCCGCAGCCACCGCATGCGCATCAAGGGCCGCAGCCTAATCCCTCGTCCCCCCAGCAGCCCCACAACCACCCCCAGCAGCAGCAGCAGCAGCAGCAGCAGCAGCAGCAGGAGCAGGAGGAGAGGGATGCATATAAGCTGGCTGGGGCAGCGTTTGCTGGGTGTAGATGTAGAAAGCAGCGGGTTGACTCCTCGGCGTTTATTATCATCGTCAGTTTATCTTCGAGCATATAAGCAGATAAGCGAAGCAGTGCAGGCACATAGGTTAACAAGAGCTGTAAAAGTAGGGGGTCAATACTTATACCCTTGGAGTGTATTCACATCTAGAGAAAGAGAGCAGCTTAGACTGATGGCCGATCAGCTTAAATGGCTGCCGAAGTGGATCAAGAATCATAGAGTAGCTAGACGACCTCCTGCTGCAGTTTTAAAGAATTATCTTCCTGTGCAGAAGCCTTCGTTTGGCGACAAGTACGGGGGCCCCGGACCAGCAGCAATGGGTGCAGCAGCAGGGGTTCGATACACCTGGTTAGGGCATGCAAGCGGTGTATTATCAATAGACGGCCTGAATATTCTGATAGATCCTGTATTAGGCGATGATATTGTAGGGGCTATGAGCGAATTAGCTAAAAGAGTTGTCAAGTTTGTTAATACAAAGTTCTGCGGTAGCCTAGGCGAAAGGCTAAGAAGGGCACCTATAAGGATAGGCGAGCTGCCCTCAGGGCTTCATTTAGTTATATTATCACATAATCATCAAGATCATATTATGGAGGGTGATATCATACAGCTTTGCAAGACTCATAAAGCTAGGTTTAAACATATTATGTTCTACGTGCCGGAGGGTGTTGCTTGGTTGTTTGTTAAGCACGGATGCTCGCCTAAGAGGGTCTTTGAGTTCACCTGGGGCGAAACACGTACTATATCTTGTACACCTAGACGAGGTGTATATACATGCATGGACGGCGTTTGGTCAAAGTACTCCTCTTCTCCTTCATCTCCTTCTGCTGCTGCTCCACCTGCTGCTGCTGCTGCTGCTGCTGCTGCTGGTGGTGGTGGTGGTGCTGGTGGTGCTGCATCCAATGGGGGGAGTAGTCGTCAAGGGTTTGCTGCTGCAGCTGCTGCTGGGCTCAGCAACAGCAACAGCGGCAATAGTAATAGTAATTACGGCAACAGCAGCAGCAACAGCAGATATCGCTCGCCTTATCTTTATTCGAGACGTTATAACACCACAGTGTCTGATGATGCAGCAGCAGCAGCAACACCAGCAGCAACACCAGCAGCAGCAACACCCCGTCCAGGGTTGTTTCGTGGTACTCGTTGGGGCATTAGCGCAGCAGCATCATCATCATCATCAGCAGCAGCAACATCACCAGGCGGTGCAGGACAGTTTCCGGTGCAGCAGCAGCAGCAGCAGCAGCAGCAAGACGTGCAACAGCAACAGCAACAACAACAACAACAACAGCAGCAGCAGCAGCAGCAGATGCAGTATATAGATGAAGTAGATGAGGGATTAGTAGATAACTTTAAAGTAACTTTCTTCGCCAGTGTACACTGGAGCGGGAGAAGCGCAGCAAAGACAGATCATAACACTTCGCTGTGGGGTGGTTTTGCTGTTCAAGGGCCTCGTCATAGTTTCTTTTACGGCGGGGATACAAGTTACTTTAAGCGAGACTTTGACGAGTTTAAGAAGATAGGGAGGCTGCTAGGACCCTTTCATCTTGCTGCTATTGCGATAGGTGCCTACGAGCCCAATGAAGACTTACGCTATCAGCATGCAAACCCTCAAGAGGCTGTTGCTTTGTTTAAAGACATTCGTGCTGAAGTTGCTGTTGGTGTACACTGGGGTACTATGAGACTCTCTGCTGAGAACCTCTTCGATCCGATGCTAGAGTTAGAGTGTGCTCTTGTCGGTGTATCTCTACGAGCATGCAGAGGAGAGACATTACCCTCGCCTTTACCTCCTCCTGCTGCTGGTGCTGCTGCTGCTGCTGCTGGTGGTGCTGCTGCTGCTGCTGGTGCTGCTGCTGGTGGTGCTGCTTCCACTCCTAGTACGAATACCGGCGCAATTGCAGCACCTGCTGGTGCTGCTGCTGGTGCTACCAGTGCTGCTGCTGCTGCTGCTGCTGGACAGGGGATGCAAGCAGCAAATGCACCAAATGCAGCAGCAAATACACCAGACGGGCAGAAGGCAAACGCTAAACGCGACAAACAGAAACAACCCAAGGGTGATGCTGCTGCTGCTGCTGCTGCTGCTGCGGAGCACAGCAGCAACCAAACAAAGACAGGACACGCGGCGAAAGGCTGCAGCAGCAGCAGCAATGGCGGCAGCAGCAGCAGCAATGGCGGCAGCGGAAGCAGCAGCAGCGGCAGCGGCAGTGGCAGCGACAGCAGCAGCAGCAACAACAGCAAAAGCAAAAAAAGCAGCAGCAGCAGGTACGACACTACCGCTACCTCAGGCACGAGTAGCCTCAGCAGCAGCAGCAACAGCAGCAGCAGCAGCAGCTCGGAGATGAGCGATGAAGAGCGACCGCCGCATCATCAGCCGCGGCGGCAGCACCACCATCAGCAGCAAGAAGAACAATCAGAGACAATTGTTGCTGGGTCTACTGTTACTGCATGCGTCTTAGTGGAGCCTGAGCCTGACATTCAAGCACCCCCTGTATCTGCTGCTGCTGCAGCAGTTGCTGCTGCTGCAGCAGCAGGCCTTGGCTACGGCCGCACCGCAGGAACACCGACTCTGCTGGGGCAGCAATCTTCACCTGCCACCCCTACCGCCAGCACCAGCAGCAGCAGCAGCAGCAGCAGCAGCA